GTAGAATTGCCCTGCGAAATCGATGATGCCCTGCAGCAAAAATTTCAAATAGCGGCGGGGGGAGGGGGGGCGGTCGAAAAAATTTTAAGGTAAAAAAAAAATTTTCGGACATACACCAGTTCAATTAAAGGTCAAAAAAATTTTTTCGGACAAATTCCTGTTAAAACATGCATGAAACCCTTATTTTTTTAACAATATCTGAAATTTAAAATCTTTCATTGCCCTGCCCATCCAGATGATTTGCCCTGCCAATCCAGCTTAAGGGGGGTGTCACACCCCCCCCCCACCCCCCCCTTAAGTTTCGTCCCGGTTCGAGTCTTTTCAATTCTTTTTAATTTCTTAAAATTTTCGACTAGATTTTCAGTAGTTTTGCCCGACCTTTTCATAGTTTTTGCCCGACGAGAGTACCGTGATAAGGCTATATTATCCGCATTTTACAACATTTCGCAACAAAACTTTGGAATATTACTAATTTTGTGATGCTCTTTCAAGCTGTGATGAAATTTTTGTTTAGGCTAGTTGAGATCAAAATTTTGGTTAATTGGGGATTGGTCCATTGACTACTGCCGTACTAATCGAATTGACTGTGTGGAAAACATTCCATAAAAACCCCGCTTTCTATATGGGCATAAGTTTATATTTTTTGCTCAGTACGAGTTGTCTTGCTTTTATGTTGATTGTATCCGTTTCTTTTTGGCAGGATGAATTCTGCTTGAATTCTAGAGTATCTAGACACTCGAAACTGACTCGCGCCGATCGAACGTACACTCGCTATATGCGACGTCATGCATGATTTAGTATATAACGCAAGTGAAATAGGTTTACCTTGTTGGAAGATTTTTACGCTCTCATGAGTAGTAAGTCAAATGAGTACTCGAAACATTTGCGCGTGTCAGCGTGTCAACGTCGCGTACCCAGGCTCTTTCCTCTACGCTCTTACGTAGAGGAAAGAGCCTGGGTATGTGGTTGTGCGCGTGACATGCTTGCTCGCTCAACTCGTGATTGGATTTTGTATTCAGGTCTGCAAGTTACGCCGGAGTATTACTAATAAGAAAGCTATAAGAAATCACGCGATATTTGGTGGCAATAAATGTTGGGTACTATCTCGACAGTAGGGAGGGTACAATTGTCTGGATTCGCCAGGTAACTGCCTTTCTCAATTCGACGCCATATCTATTTTTATTTAGCTTTAAACATTTGCCACCCACGCAAAATTATGTGTTGTGACGTCACTTGCAAGGCTGAATAGGAATGGGGTAGAAATATATGCTGCTTTTTGCCCGTTGGCTTTGTGATAATATACTCTTCATCTTGAAATATTGGCCATTTTTTGTGTTGTTTAGGGCAAATCATTCTTCCACCTGGTGGGAACAGCTTGATCGTTTTAAATGGATCAACTGTGAGAATTGAGTGGTCGATTGATGGTAGTGTTTCATCTGGGAATATAATATTTCGGTCTTGGGTTTTCATAAGGAGTGGCAAAACTGAACGACTTGGCGAAATATCTGGTGCTGGTAAAATTACGATAACAACCAAGTTATATGAGGTTGATATAAAAGAGCCAGCAACATTGATTTTGAAAAACGTCAATGGAAGTTATAATGGAAAATACACGTTTACTCTTTTATCACCTGGCAACAGTATATCTGAAGTTGATGTTGTTATTGCAGGCAAGTTTTCATTATTGCTACGTCAAGCGCGCGCGCGGGGCGACACGCAATCGATCAAATAAATCGTCGATATTAAGCAGTTTTATTAAAAGTTTGGATATTTTAGTGAAGTGTTTAAAACGCCTAGCTATTGGGCTGCCTATGGTAGCTGTATAGTAGTAAACTACAAATATTTTTTAGTCAACCCGCCGTTGAGTGGATTCTTGGTCTGAGACAAATTTCTTTAATTAATGTTTATTCTGCATGCATTTGAATATGGATGTCAGGTTTGGAATTTTAGCTGCTTATTATTTAAAAGAAGAAGTCGAGGGAACTCGAAAAAGAGAGCAAGCTTTGCGAATAATACATCCACAATATTCATCGTTAATTTCGAATGTTTTTAAACATATACTGATTTTTGCTCCTATAACACAACTCTCGAAAAAATAGCACAACCGTCGAAATTCGCTTCGGCACTCTGCAATGAAGATCCGGGTTTATATACGCGAATCGACAGCTTTGCAGTAATAGATTTACGCGGTGTTTCCACAAACAAAAAGTATTGTATTATTTTAGCCTTGCGTGAGCAACACGTGAGCAGTGTCGGCAGCCTTCCACGCCATATAGTGCGTCAGTTTCAGTCCTTTACCACAGAATAAGGTACACAGAAGGTCGACTTCTTGGTTTTTGCTATAATTTTCCAATGATTTGGGCGTAACCCGTAATTCGTCATCAAATGCTGACGCTATGACAGATCGGAAGTGCGCGTTTGAGAGGTATTTACCTCCCTGATAATATTCAAAATGGCGGACGTCCAGGGGGGGATGCCTCTCAAACGCGCACCACGATCAAAATCTATT